AGATATACATATACACACAACTACCCGCACAGACACATAGATAAACACATATATGCACACATACACACATCCATACACAGACACGCACAGGCAGGCAGACACACACGGACACGCACACAGACTGAAGGTTCAGAGGGGCTGTGGGAAATTCTTACTCCTTCCTTATTCCCTCTGGAACATTCCCCATTTCCCACCTGGACCCTGTTGCCGTGGGGGCCCTGGGCGGGTCCTGACCGCAGTGACCCCGTGCCTGTGATGGGGGAGGTGCACTGGCCCCTGCGGTGTCTCAGGCAGTCACCCATGCGGGAGCAGAGCACCAGGTCTTTCTCCCGCAGCGCCGAGAGGGGTTTGAACCACCCGCCGGAGCCTGAGCAGCTGAGGCTCCCGGGCCGCAGCAGCAGGGTGCCGACCAAACCAGAACCCAGATCACTGCTGGCGAGCCCACCCCACAGGGCAGAGGAGAACTGCCCCGTGAGCTTCTGAGACTAATTGTGCGGGAGCGGCTCCTGGGTTCAAACTGCCGACCTGCGGTGAGCAGCTCAGCGCGTCACCACTGTGCCTTCTCTCCAGCGCCCAGTGACTTGTGAATCACTTTCAGAATCAGAGTGATCTTCAAAGGAGACGTGACGTGACTATAGAGGTCCTGTCCCCAAGGACTCCATCTGTCAGGGGACACAGGAAGGGCGGGCCTGCCCGTACGCCAGGAACACGTATTGACAAAGGCAGGCGGCCCCCAAAGACCCGCTTGCCGGACCTTTCCTTAAAAGACGAAGCAGGCTTGCTTTGCGGGGCGCCTGGAAAAGTAGGTCCACTGAGGGGGAACGTCTCACAAATCCACCCGCCCACTCAATGCTCACCAGCTCTGCTCCCTACCATCGCTTACACGGTTTGCCAACGAGCTCGAGCTGTGAGCCACAGCCCGGGCAGGCCCGGGGTCGTTGGGCTGTGCTGCCCTGCGATGTGCAGGTAACTGACCGTTTCGCGACGGGGAAGCTGGGGGCGGACCGTACTATCGTCCCGACAGCGCGTGCTCATCTGTGCCTCTGAATCCCACGAGATTTCTGACTTTCCCATGCCGCTACTGCACCCTGCAAAGACTCCGGGGGAGAGGTGTTGCCCTAACTGCAGGAAGCACCCGGAAACCAGGCCCCTTGTATGATCTGCTTTATTGTAGGGGTTCGGAACCCAGGGTGCCAGGCCTCTGAGATCAGTCAGTCGGTCTGCCGGGAGAGCTAGAGTTGGAGGAAGAAGGCCGAGAAAGCAGCCCTCGTCTGTCTAACCGGGATGAGCCTGCGTGCGTGCGCGCGCGCGTGCGTGCGTGCGTGCGTGTGTGTGTAGCTGCGTGCATGTGTGTGTGTGTGTGTAGCTGCGTGCATGTGTGTGTGTGTAGCTGCGTGCATGGGCGCCAGCGAGGCCCGGCGCAGCAGCGTACCTTCAGGCTGACGTCTGTCCAGTAGATGTGGTTGCTGGCCACGTCGAAGTCCAGCGCGGAGGCCTCCTTGACGCCGGTGAGCGGGATGGCCACGTCGTTGTTGGTGGTCTCCAGGGAGATGCGGTGGATGGCCGCCCGGCTGGTGAAGACCAGGAAGGCCTCGGGCACGATGCAGGTCTTCATGTCGCCCAGCAGCTCCAGGCCGATGGGGCAGCCGCACTTGGTGGCCCGCGGCGTGAAGAAGCACAGGTGGCTGCAGCCCCCGTTCCTGTCCGCACACGGGTTGGTTCCTGGAGGCAGACAGACAGGCTGTGACAGCCACCCACCCACCCAACAGTGGGGAGGCTCTCTGCCAGCTGCCACCTGAGGACAGGGGTGGGGGGTGGGAGGAGGAGGAGGAAGCCCCAGGCTCTGGGCAGGGGGAGGAACCAGTAATCACAATGGGCTCGGGCTGGGTGGACCAGGAGGGGCTGTTGTCTTACACCATTTAAACAGCGACTCTCTCTCTCTCTCTCTCTCTCTCTCTC